CCCTCGCCGCCGCTCTGGAAGATGGGCACGTGACGGTTAAAATCAAGAGGTACTTCAGCTTCCCCAACTCGGAGTTTGATAAATACGGAGGCGAGGTGTCCTACGCCAAGTCCGCCATGGTCTGTGCCCGCAGCGGAGGCTACCTTTCTGCGGATCAAACACCTGCTGCGCATCAGTCCATCACGGACAATTTGCGGCCGACAGGACGCCGCTTCGATGCGCTCATGTACACGTTCATGGGCGGCGACGCGGAGTACAGCGTGAACACGCAGCGGTGTACGCCAGGAATGCTAACGGCGTCCTTGGGCTGCGTCTACCAGTGGAATCAGGGCGCCTTCGCTGACCCGCTGGTCAGGGGCCGCGGTGCCTCGTTTTACAGGGGCTCACGGTTTAACGTCCCGGGCAACGGCCCGATGAACGGGTACACGCCTCACTGGGCCGTTATTAACCCTTATTTCGGCCAGCCTTATGTGCTATCGCGTCTGCGTGTGAAGCATCCAGCGGAAACGATAACTTGGCACGACGCAGCAGATAATCCAAGGCTCACTCCTATAAGGGCCAAACAACTCTTTGGCGTTGTCTGTGAGGTGCAGGATGCGATCACCACCACCACCACCACTACCACCACCACGAGGCCGCCAACCACCACCACGACGAGGCCGCCAACCACCACCACGACGAGGCCGCCAACCACCACCACCAGACGAGGCCGCCAACCACCACCACGACGAGGCCGCCAACCACCACCACGACGAGGCCGCCAACCACCACTACCACCACCACAAGGCCGCCAGCCAACACAACTAAGTTGGCGCCGGAGGAGGTGGTGGTCCCGTGGGCGAAGAAGCACTGGTATGTCCTTATTCTTGCAGTCGTGCTGCCGCTTATTGCGGCTCTTGCACTGATAATTATCATTTGCTGCTGTTGCTGCCGCGGTGTCGATGAGTCCAAGTGGGTGACGCCCATGGTCTTGCGGGAGGTGAGCGGCGATGTGCGGTATGCAGCCAACCAGAGGTGGGGAAGCGGGTTGGGTTCCTTTGAGGACCCAGTTTTCCCCATGTGTCCTCCCCGTGAGCAGGGAAATGGAGTCCTGCAGAATTCTTGGATGACACCCCCAGCACC